GGAGCAGCGGTTTAGCAGAACCTCCTCATTTGCTCAACATAAGTGTGTGTGTACCCTGAGCATTAAACCCTTTTAAATAAAAGCGAAATTAATTATTTAGGATTTCTGTATATATCAACTAAGGAAGTATAGGAAAGTAATAGTTTACATTATGAGTAATTTCATATTTTATATTATCTGAATGAATGTACAAGAAGGTGAGTAAATTTTTATATATTAATTTGTGGAGGAGCCTTTGTGGAAAAGAATTATCTTTACCCAAATTCCATGACTTAAAAATAGTTTTTATTCCTATTCACTCCCTCTCAACGGTATGAAAATAAAAATTTATTGCAGTTTTAACAAGAAGAAGAAAATATAGATAACTTCGAATTTGAGTTTCAGGGCACTTCTGAAAAAGGTGGACAAAAAGCTGAAGTAACCTGAGGGCACAGTAGATCTATTTATTGCTTCATCAACTTGAAGCCTAAAGCCAAAACTGTCATTCTGCTGGATAGGCAGACTTCTCCAGAGGTAAAGTTGAACTTCATGTACTTGAAAATGAATGCAAACCACTGAGTAGTACCAAACTTAAGAACAATTTACATTTTAGAGCTGATTTTAAGGATAAGTTGCCTGATTTAAAAAGGATATGAATGTCCTTTTCTGATTGGATAGAGCAAGAAAATATATGGGGTTTTTTTTTTTTTGGCCAGATCTGGGCAGTGCATATGAAGAGAGGTTACATTTCTGACCCCTCAGCTTTGTCAGTGTATTATTGCATTCACCATATGAGTTGGTCATCTTCTCTTAGCCAGGCCTGGAAGTTGTGCTAATGGCCTGGCCTTCCAACAAAATCCAGCCTGAACTCTCTCTAATGGAATCCATGGGCAAATAGTGTCTGCAGAAAAAACAAAAAATTTTACAGTGCCCAGCTAATTTTTGGAAATTAAAGACAGGACACTTTGCAGGAAAATGCTGGGCTGTAGAAGGCTCTAAATCTCTTCTGGTTCACTGGCTACTCGCTTTGTTGTCCAGCCCAATCTTTAATTTACCTTATTCATCCCAGAGACATTACTGATAGGAGGAGAAAGCCTCTCATATCAGGATCGTCCTTTGAATCCAGGACCAAATGAAGATTAGGACATTATGGAATGTTTGGTGTATAAAGTCGAGCAAATTTGGAGAGACCTAAAAGAAAATTGTTAAATTAGATGAGTTTGCATTTAATTCCTAGAAAGAAAAAAAAAGACTGACAAAGAGGGGCCTTCGGTAGCTCATGGTGTGAGGATCCGGCAGGCGCAGTACGTCTGTCTGCATCCCCAGGGCTCCTGCTCCCTCCTGTGCTGAGGACAGGGCTTGTGTGTCCTGTGCAGAGGTAAGCTGCCTCTCGTTTCGCCCCCAAGGGCATCACTGGGCTTGCTTAGCGTGTAATTGCGAAAAGTTTGTGCTGAGTCTGTTCTCATCTAGTTCCCTTTGCGGCAAAAGGCAAACGTCTTGAGACATCTGTAGCAGTCAAAGTGGCCTGGATTTGGGGAACAGGACTTCTCTCTGGTCAAAACTGGCCAAAACTGGCAGATGTAGAATCCAGCTGATTACATTTTCCATTCCATTCTGCCCAAAGGGCACCAAGAATAGCCTGTGAATGAAAGCATGGAGGAAGGCATGTTTCGATCTCATAGTCTAGTGTAGGTTAGGAATACAGAGTCTCAAGCCTGGCATGTTTACTTACCAGCTCTCTACCTTGGGTTCATGACTTAGCATCCCTGTGCCTCAGTTTCCATATCTGTACAAAGGGGATACAGGAGTACCTGCCTCATGGGATTATTTGGAAGATTAAATGAAGTAATATATGTTTAGCACTTGGACTTGTGCTAGGCACATAGTAAAATTTAATATAGTCAGCTATCATTGTTAGTCTCTTTTTCTTTCACATTTTATATAAAAAGTTTGACTTAAGAGGTTTCCAGTTCTTGAAATATTTGTATAGAATTTGTATAGAATTTCCATAGTGTTCTTCAGGTTAGGGTTGACTTCCTAGAAAGCATGATGGAATGTCCCATCAGATGGGTTATCATATTCGGTTGTAGTTGTGAATGAAAAATAATTGCCTGCCTTATCAGTCAACAAAGGACGCTGCAGCCATCAGCCACTACTGCCGACCCAACAGTGGGTGAGAGAACTGTGAGCCTGAGAGAACTGAGGATGGAGACACGCAGGCTGCCCGCAGGCTGCCCACTGACAAGTCCTCAGCCTCTGCAGCCACCCACAGCCATGCTCCCGAGGGAACTCAGGATGGGAAAGCGCAGAATACCAGCCTTAGATTAGCTAAGTGAACATCAAAGGAATGAATTGAATGAGCCCCAACCTTTGCATCTTCCCATACATAGCAAAGCACTAAATTCCTCAACTTGAGATACCTGGTTTTGTTTAATTAACAATAATCTTTTGGTGTTCCAACTACCTGGTCTTCGTTGTGAAAACTTGTCTATATCCTGGCTCCTCCCCTGCCTCTTCAGAGCAGTCTCTCAGAGCAATCTGAGAGGCCACATCCTGGGCTTAAGCCCTCAAAAATGTCCACCAGATAAAACTCTCAACTTTTAGATTGTGCATGTTTTAACCAATGTCGTTAATTTTAGGGGTCTCATGATTGAACTCTTCAGTTATGTAGAATTATTTCTAGGAAGAGTTACCAAATAAGCAAGTGCAGCTATATTCATGTATTCAGTTGCTTGTGTGTTCAACAAATACTTACTGAGGAAGGCAGTGAGCCTGGGAATTTAGAACACGTCAAAGTCCTCACTCTCACATGCTTAATGTTCTAGTGAAGGAGACAAACCATTAGCAAGTAAACAAACAAACGTGATCGTTTCTGATAGTGCTAAGTGCTATGAAGAAAATATAGTAGGATGCTGAGAGAAGAACCAGGATGGCTATGGCTAGGGTGGCTAAGAAGGGGTCTCTTGAGGAAATGAAACTTACTCTGTGATTTAAACGACAAGAGGGAGCTCTGAGCACTGTTGAGGGAAAGGGAAACACTCCCCCTAAAGGGGGTCAGCTGACCTAGAGGGACAGAGCTGATGCAAAAGGCCTGAGGAGGGAAAGAACTTTGCATGGTCAGAGGGCAGGGAGAAAGCCCAGGTGACAGGCATACTGTCTCTGCTTAACAAGCGCAGAGCATGGAGGTGCACACACCTGCCCAAGGTTACGGTCGGTAGAGTCAAGAATTGAACGTGTAGTGGACACATTCTCCACTTTAATCACAGCATGTTTGCTGGTTTTGGAAAGCTTGATATATCCCATTTTTATTTCGACTTTTGGGAAGTCTGACAGGCAGCAGAAGTATCACAGGCCCCATGCATCCATCACACAGCTTCTCTAATTAACTTACGGCCAATTTTGTTTCATCTCGTCTTATGTCTTTAATTTTTTCATTTTTTAATGCTTTGATTTAGCACAGCAACGTTTATCAGGCAGTACCGTATGCCAGATATTATATTCAGTGAGTATATAGAAGTGAGTAAGCACAAGTCTTTCCTCAGGATCTCATGATCTAAGAAGAGAGGCACACCTATACTACGCGCGCACACATACACACACACACACACACACACACACACAATGATCAGTAACTGGTATAAACCACATGTTATGGACACGCAGAAGAGACAGCAACTAATGCTTTCCTGAGAGGTGGAGGAAAAGGAGTTTGGGGAGCTCAGTGAGACTGTAGGAGGTTGATATGGGAAGAAAGATAGGAGTAAAGGGAAAAATGGAGAGCATTTTGGGGGCAACTGATTGCAATTTGGGGAATAGTGGTCGAATGAGAAACATGAGTTAGGCCACATCCTGAAAGGCCTCAGGCACCAGTCTAAGGAATTCACGTTTTATTTTGTAGGGAAGTGGGGAACCATGCAACGATACTCACAAAGAACTAGGATGCTTGGATCATTATTTATGAATAATAATTCTAGTGACAGTGTGCAGCATAGATCTGACCTCTGAATCTACGAGCCTGGGACAGGGAAATGAATGAAGAGCCTGGGCAGATTAGGTTAGCCAAGACAAATGAAATGCTAAATAGAGTTGCATAAATGTGGAGTCACAGAAGTAGGCTGCAGAGGTGGATCAGATAAGACCTTCTGGAGAAGATGGCTTTTGACTTTGATCTTGAATATAAAAACATGAATGGATAATGAAGGGAGGGGACTGTAGTATTAGGGAACAGCATTTTCAAAAGCAGAGAGCTACAAAATCAGAGAGAATATTCAGGGATTCCCATGGATGGACGTGAAGCCAGTCAGCTAGCTAGCATGCTGTTAAAGCACTGCCAGCAAAAGGTGGTGAGGGCTCTAATGAATTCAGAGACAAGCAGTAGGGGCAGGACTTGGTGATTAATGGGATATGGAGGGTGAAGGAGAGAAATGGGTTGCAAATCTGAGGTTTCTAGACTCAAGGTATTTTTTAAAGTAGAATGTTTTAAAAAATGGAAAGCATAAAGGCAGTTTCATAAGAAAAGATAATTTGGATAGTTGTCCACAGGCTTAGTATGTTGCCTGTGGAACGTTTGGAAGGAAATGCTGGGCAGGAATTTGGAAACTCAGGTGTAGAAAGTAGATTTGGAATCATCAACGGGAGGTGATAAGTGGCTGAAGCTAATGAAATGATAACTGATGATGTTTTCCTATTAAAATGATAAACCTGGTGTAACCAAGTCCTTTATGAAACATCTTGCTCTGCTCAATACAGGTCAGAACATGACCCTCAAGAATAGTGATGTTTTGTGTATTGATTGCACTGTATCATGGACGATGTAACCAGCATTTTTTGCGTGGGGGTTGTCTCTGCTGTCCCACATAACAGTTATAACAGTATTCTGTTATGTCAGTAATTCAGCACCGTCATTCGGCTGGGGACACTGGAGCTGCCTTTGATCATAAACATTACTGTACCTTATTCACTTCACTGAATGCAGTGTGTGTTTCTCTACCACATCACAGAGTTGCTGTTCTTTATTTCAGGTTTCATCGTCCATAACGAAGTGTGAGACTCTATGGAAACAGACTGATCATCTTTGTGGGAAGCCTCGCTTCCTGAAAACCTGATATTGCACTGGGATTTGAATGTGTGTGTTTCCGTTTAACTTGTGGTGAAGGAGGCATGTGGAAAGTGCTCCCGCCCTGTGCAGCCCACGTGGGGCCAACAAGCAAAGGGAAGGGTGGACCCTGCTGTCCAGCACGTGTATCGATGGTAAGGGACACCTTGGTTGCACCAGTTATTCTTCATCAGGAGTTTTAATCAGAGAAGATGAGCAGAAGACAATCGCTGGTTCCCTGTTGCCAGAAAGCCAAATTTTTACAGTGCGGGTTAACGAAGAATGGAGAACAGAGTTTCTGGGCACTGGAAAGGGATAGGAGTTAGTCAGAAAGAAAAGGAAATATTTCATTATGTTAATGAAAAGAGAAAATTGAAGCATAAATGTATTTTTGAAGTAGGCTGTTGGTAGTTGAGAACTTATTAAGGAATTTGGGAATCTAATCACCCAATGTGGATTTATTAGAGACCTAATCCTGGAGGAATACTCCTGATTCACCATTATATTGGTACAGTGCAGTACCATTATTTTTTTGTTGTGCCAGTGAATCCAGTTGCCAGAAATAAGTCTGAGCATTTTCATGCATCTTTTTCTTAAATGCAAGAGGCTTTTACTGACTCTTAATAAGCATGCTTACCCAAATTTTGTTGCATGCTTTAAATAGCATAGCTATACACACTTGACTTTTTTTTAAATATTTTTTAATACAGCCTTCCACAAGGATAACAGGACTGGGAATAAAGTCAGATGTGATGAGACCCTATACATCTGTAGCAAGCTTTAGAAGTAAATCTTTTGGTCTTTCCCTAGCTTGAACATCTCCTAAGTTGAAACAGTCATACTTGATCTAAGGAAAAAAATATCGACAATCATGGCACCTTTTTAAAAATTCTGAATCCAAAGTTAAAACTTAAGCAAAATGCAAGTGTTCTGCCAGCAGTTAGTGCTGAGTGGGAATGGAAAAAACTACTTATTTTCCATGCTGCATTAAGTTGGGTTGCTGCTATTAAAAAAAAAAAGAGCACATGGTTAAGAAAAATTAGTCACCCAAAGACTTAACACAAAATTTCAGCTAGGTTGTAAGTGAGGAAAACCTCATTTGGTATTTTTAAGAGCCTGCAGATTACATCCATAAATCTATAGCATTGACTTCCAGTGCAGAAGAATCAGTGAGATTAAAGTTATGAAAGGTTTCCCTATGAGCCTACAGTCAGTATTGTTTACATTAAGAAACCCTCTATTGTCATCTTGCTATTTTCCATGGAGTCACGGGCGTAGCATGGCTTCTGCTCCCAAGTGCATATGACCGTATGTAAATACTGCCTTGCATTTAGTTGTTCTTTCACAATTGTTTTGTGCCCCTTTTATTAAAAACACATGAGATGTATAACAAGACCAGACCTAAAAAGACTTTATTTTATTCTCAGAGTTTGATCTGGGATTTTTTGAAGTGATTCTGGTTCGTTACATGGAAAACTGTAATTTTCGATTTCAACCAAAAAGCAGTTGATCTGGTGGATAAATTTGGATCTTATTGTCAGTTTATATTTTCTTAAAAACCACTTAAAATTGGATGATTTTGCTTAAAAAAAAATTTAGTCCCAGTTAGCTTATTACAAAAACCCAGGACCATTTTACAACTAAGAAGGTGGCCAGCATTGCTGCCCCACTCGCTGGCTCAGCTCTGTGCATAGATAAAGTGAACCTAGATTTCTGCACTATTGTCATTTCATTGATAGAATTAAGACATATTTTTACTTTGAAAAAATTTTTTCTGCATTCCCATGTGTCTTTCTCTGGCTAAAGTTTTGTCCATTTCATAGTGTTTAAATCCAGCCACAGACAATAACTGTGTTCCAATTTTTTGCTGAAGTCATGTTTTTCCTTACTGATATTGTTTTATTGTCATTTTAGTGTCTTGGGAAAAATACCAAGGAATATAATGTTATTTTAATTTTCTATGCTTATAATGTTTGATCATTGTTTTGATTTCTAATCACAAGGCCTCTATAAAAATGGCAAATATAAGACATTTATCACAATTTTATCATTCAAGTTACATGTCATAGAAAGTCTCAATTTGGTTGATAAAAGGAACAGTTTTTTTCCCACTAGTGGTACGTGTGATACATTTTTTTATTCCCTACAATGAGATGCACCCAGTACAAAATGAGACTCTGGTCCCTCAATATTGTTTTCTTTGTATGGCATGTCAGATTCATGAGCTAACCATACTTTTTCTTCTACTGATTAACATGCTTAGGGAAAAGTTTAAAAGAGAGAAGTATAAAAGTCAAAAATATTAACCACTACTAGTCTAATATTTAAGAATTCGAACCACTAATTATGTTATGGAATGATTCTTTAACAAAAAAGCTGTAGAAGCAATGGAAGGATTATGAGCTAAACTATATTTTAGCTGCAGAATGAAGCTCTATTTTCATAGCTGATTTTAAAAGGCAGAAACACTGCATATCCACTGCGGCAGCCCACCTCGAGGTCTCTTTCCCGGCAGCCCTAAAAGGATGCAGAGATGTGGACTACCCTCCATAGAATTATGTCTCTGCCTAATGTCAGCATTTCTGCAATCCAGTCAATAAGCTGCGGCTCTATAAAAATAAATGTGTACATGAATTGGATTGTCGTAGCACACCAGCAGGCTTTTCCCTATTTAAAGTGTGACGTTAGGCTGACGTAGAAGAAGTAAGTGGGTTTTCCTGAGTCCCCAGGACATGATTAAGGAAGAAAACAAATCCATCTCCAGAAAGGTCTCAGACAGGAAAGAATTGGACAGATTGTAAAAACCAAAGTGGCCACTTCCATCTTTTTTTAAATGGAGAAGAACATAACCATAATGTAGTAACGATACCATAAGCTTTATCAGCATCTTCATGGTCACTATCAGTCAGTCTGACCAAACTAGTTCTCTGGTGACTAGCATTAATTTCTGCCTGATAATTTCCTATGTGTGTGAAATGTCTTGCATTTTTTTGTTGTTCAATTAGCTTACCTTTATATTAATTCCTAAAATTATTTAAATGAAATGTGTAATACTCAGAGAACTAGTGGGGGTATTTGAACAGCTGTTTTCAATGGAGGAAAAAGCACACTCATCCATCTGATTTACCCAGAGAAACTGACTTTCTGGTTTCATTTTCATATCATTTGTTAGCATACAATCAATTATGCTTCTCTTACATTAGTAAATATATTCTGTTAGTAGAAAGTTCTGAAATGTAAACGAAAATCTACTTAAGGGAGTAGAGGAATTGAATATACCCTTCAAAAATCATCAAATACTGAAAATGAGACAGAAGTCCTTCAAACCCATAATTCAGGTTTTACAACCTGCAGTCAATTTGGTGCTGCACTGGCACTTAAAAAAAAAAATACAGTAGCTTACACTTTAAGAACAATCTGCATTAACATTGCATCTCCTAACCTGTACTGCATTTTAACACACAATAGGCATTGTATTTATACTTCATAGAATCAGACACAACTTTCACAAATTATACTGTATTCACAGTAGCAAAAAGCAGACTTGTCTACCACATAATAGTATCTCCATATTTAGACAGCGAAAGCTCTTCAAAAATGTCATTATTTCTTTAAGTGATCCCAGCCCCACATTTCACAGAGTGAGGTGAGATGGAATCAAGCTGGTACAAGGTACATAAACTGATGTCACTGCATCCGTATGGTGGCTTAAACATTCCTCGATCCCGTCATATTATTAGGCCTAACCTTACTAGTGAAAGCATACGCTTTGAGACAAGAATTGATTTCTTCACATCACTAGAGAATGTTCTGAGCACTAAGGAACCACTAAGATGCAATTCATTTACAAAGTTTTCCCTTGGCCACTTGAAAATGGCTAATCTTCCACCGCTGGGTATTTGAGTGTATTATCACATCGTTTTACTCGACAAGGCAGAGAGAAATTGTACAGCTGAAATGTGTCCTAGAGGGGCTTGCAACAGCAAGAGCAATCATCCAATTAATAGGATCGTCTTCCTGAGAGAAAGCACATCTCCAGATATTTGAAACCCAAGTTTCCAAAGAGCAGCCTGAGGCTCTACTGGAATTTGTCAGCGACCAAAGGGCGTCGGGACAAACCACTCTCCTTTTCACTTGCCGTTGACTTTCTGTAATCATTAAGCTTAGACTCTTTATGGAAACACAACGTACCATGAGCATTTCTAGAAAACAACCAAAAAATAGCCCACTTACACTTTTTCAAAGACAGGGTCATCCCAAATTAAGAAATCCTATTGTAGCCTCTGTAAAATTTCTGGCAAAAAAAAAAAAAAAAAGAATCCTGTAATAGCAGCAATTCCCACTGAAATCCAACCCTGTGGGCAAGGATCATTTTTAGCTATGCTAGGATTTACTGCACAAAAAATGTCATTTAGCTTGTCGCATTGGTAGCATGGCTGCACATGTGAGCAAAAGCACTCCATCAGTGTTTCTCAGTGTGGGTGCTGTTGGCTTTCGGAGCTGGGCTGTTCTTTGTTGTACAGAAGTGTCCCACACATCGCAAGACGTTTAATATCCCAGGCCCCTGCAGACTAAATGCCAGCAGTATGCCCAGTCGTTGTAAATACTGAAAGTAAAAAGCCCTCCCCTGTATTCGAATGCCCTTCTAGGAGGGTGGTACCACCTCTTTTTAGTACCACTGTCTACTGCCCTTTGAGGACACGGGGATAAAGTGTCTGTCTCAAAACGTCATCTTGACTGCCTTGCATTCCTTTGGGCCCTGAGTAGTTTCTTCTCTCTTCATTTTTCTAGCCTTCTGCTTTGATGTAGTCTTAATTTGCCAGTTCTCCATGAAGGAGGTTACTGGGGACTGTTGGGGGTTCCATGGTCACTTGGTTGGTCCCCATATTACTTAAAAGATTTCACATGAAACAAACTTTTTTTTTTCTTTTGCCTCACAATTTTACCTCAGAACTACACTGTTCGTCACAATCCTTGCCAGTGTCATGAGGACCATTGCATGGCTTAACCACAAACTGGACAGCTAGCAATCCACATAAACAAAACTGATGGTCTATGAAAATTATCATTAGATTTCACCTGGTGAGCTACATCCTGTGAGTTCCCAAGCAACCAATTGTTTATCCTACTAAAGAAGCAATTAATCTACATGCCAATATTTGAATTCCCCCTGCATGAATACTCATGCAGTTCAACTTTTCTAAGATATGTGAATACTAAATTATGAAGGAAACGTGGGTAAACTGTGGATTGCATGCATATTGTTCATACATCAGCCATGATCATACACAAAACAAGATGAGTTTTACCTAGGTGAAACATTATTAAACTATACTAACAATAATAAACATACTTACTCTCTTTGTAACATTTTTGTCACCAAGACTGAGTGATAAATATGTCTTGAAATTATTTGGATGAATTGTAGCTAATTGTTTGAATTCAAAGTTAACCACTATAATTTTTTTCAATATTAAAATTTCTAAATATCTCTCTTGAAGCGGAGCAACTCAGAGTCGATAAAGGTGGTTATATTGTAAACTTTTTAGATGGTGCTTAAGAATTCTTTAAAATACCAGTTCTTTTTTTTTTAAAGAATGATTTGAAGGGAGTACATGAGGCAGAATGCCACTCCACCTGCAGGTTAATTTTGTGGTATATTAAAATGCCAATGATATTTGTGCCACTTGCCAATTTAGGGGGCTTTTCCCTTACTGGATGTTTTGTTCGAGTTTGACTATGTACATTGCTGACCAAGCCTCCACAAGGAGAAGTCACCATGGCAATGCTACCGAGTGTTCAAAAACGATCTGAATGAATCTGGGGTCAAACCACTTTCATCACTTAAAATACTGGCACTAATTTTTCCTTTTATTTTTTCAAATTTTTCTTCTGCAGGTTAGGAATGTGCCAATAGGTTCAAAACATTCTGCACCAATTTCACCAGATTTAGTACCTACTAAAAACTCAATCTAGTCACTTTTTTCTATGTAATTTTTAAATAAAGAACTATATGCATTCTTTTGTTATTTCAAGCTTTGGTGAAAGTGATTAAGAATGGTAAGCTGTGCTCATGATCAGACTGAATGATCCCTGATTTCCAGTGAGTGATCTAATCCTACATATTATACAGGTGTCATATCTGTGACTGTAAATAACTGGAACTATATACTGATTAACACGACGGTTTCTCTTTTTTTGTTGTTCTTAAACCTGTACTGTATTATAGTATGTGGGTATAAATATCTACAAGTATACACACATATGTATATGTAATTCCACTATTGTAACCTGAAAGAAAGACTATGTATTATCTTTTTTATTCCGTATTGGTGTTTGTGTTATTTAAAAAGCAAAAATACGCTCTATTTAGTTGTATTATAGGATACTTTGCTGTGCACAATTCTAAGTGCCTTAGAACATTGTTTAGCTTTCTGAAGTATATATAAATGCATATATGTATAAAATTGGGAAAAGTTACCTCAATAAAATCATTGGGAAATCCCCAGCTTTAGTTTGTTCCAATTTCTATTGTATTCAGACAGTGCTCAGTATGTTTAAGTTAAAAACTCAGAGAGTCCTCACCTTTAAAGCAAGAATAAGAGAGCTTTTCTAATTTCCTGTTATTTCAACTCTACCTAACTTACAATTTTTTTGTATGTAAGGCCTTGCGGTTTGTACTTTTCATGTAAAATATCTAAGAATCGCTGCCTGAAACAGCAACTTACAATATATTTTTAAAACTTGGTGTCTTTTTATATCTGAGGATATTTGATATTGATGTTTTCATTGACATTATAATGTATAAACATAAAAGATAGTCCCTTCAGAGTTTCTAATATACAAAATAAACAAAATTCCTTATTATGCCTACTATTCAGTGTATTACAAGCAAGGAGAGAGCTTGGGAACATATTTTTGACCAGAAAAAGAATTGGAATATACTTTTCATGTTTTTCAACAATAGTTACAAGTTGTAAATTAGCCTCCCTCAACTCCAGGATGAGGGCAAAGGTGTGAAAGGGAAGTTGAAGAGTGATTTGTGCACCATTTTACTAGACAGAAGACGTATGAGAGAGAAGGTTGGGACCAAAAAATTAGAGTTGGTTTGAAAATTGGCCCCAAGTATGCTATTAAAGATCAGCGGTACATCTCCAGGGTAGGTGTGGTAGTTAAAAAAGTACTTTCCACTTTTTCTTACACTAAACATTGAAACATTACTTTCCAAAACCCAATGGAGGTAAGTAATGGACCATTTTTTCTTCTGCAGCGCTTTGACGGCATCAGATTTATTAAACTTTATTAAATTTGATTAAACTCTTTGCAGAACCTCAGCTCCAACACGGCATGGAGTTGCTGCCACCAATGTTGCCGTCCACAGACGACCTAAGTCCTTGTTCGGTGTATGAGTTTTGAACTCTGCCCTGTAAAAAGTGGACACTAATAGAACACATAAAGCTCTAAAGGAAGGTTGAGAATGTAAAGTTTGTGTAAAAGTTTTTTTTTTTTGCTCTTCTGCTAAAAATGGTACCATTTCTAGGGATTTTTAAAAACCATTTTTTAATGAAGTATATAGTTCATTTATAATGTGTGAGTTTTAGGTGCATAGCAACGTGATTCAGCTATGCCATTGCTAGGGGTTTTAAGGGGGAAAAATTCTGTAGATTTTCATAATTTGATAAGCACCCTAGGGAGGAGAGGGCTGGCATTTTCAGCATTTCTTGATCTAAGGTTGTGTTTCTGGATAAACTTTTGACCTTGGAGGGGGGGAGGTAATTAGGTTTGTTTATTTATTTATTTAATGGAGATACTGGGGACTGAACCCAGGACCTCATGCAAGCTAAGCACGCACCCTACCGCTGAGCTATACCCTCCACCTAGGCTTTTACCCTTGGTTGGCCCAGCTCAGACAATCTGGTGTAGGGAGTACTCAACATAGGTAAGAATTTGCCTGTAATTGTTCTTGTAGGCGTACTCAACATTTCAAATTTAAGCTATAAATTATTTCTTCTCGGTCAGTTTAAATTTGTTACCTCTTTAGTTCAGGCCCTGATTCCTTTGAAATCTTGGTCATTACCCCCTGAGTCTTCCCCAACCAATCCATTCTAAATCCTGCTACCACATTATTCTTCCTAGAACACAACTCATATTATTCCTACTCAGAATTTTCCAGTGACTCCCCACTGCCTACTGAATACCTCCCAAGTGCTTTAACCTAGCCCTCAAAATCTTCCACAGGTTCACCATAGACCACAGTTTCAGATTGCTCTCCTTTTATTTATTCCTCACTTGAGCCAAATTAAATGAAACTAATTTATCCTCCAATACAATATGCAACATTACAACTTTATTTACACCATTCCTTACAACTGGAATTCTCATCTTTCTTAACATCCTACCTGTCCTTCTAGGAAGGGTTCAAATATCTTCTCCAGATATTGACATTGTAGTTTCATTAAAGTCTTAAACAGCATATATAAACTTAAGATTTTATTTTAAGCATTTAAATGCCCAAATGTGATTATAATAAGCATTTAACAACACTTTCAAATACATTATAAATGTAGTAAATCAGATTTTCTTAAACATTTCAGTATTATTTACAAATGGGAAAATAGTTTAATACTTTTCAGCTTTACAAGTTTAAAACTATTTCTATAGTTTAAATTAGAATTGTATGGCTAATTGGTCAGATTCTACAATAGTCCAATTTTTTAAAAATTACAAATTCTTTAAGACCAAATACATATAGGTTGTCCCAATAATTACAAAACGTAAATGTGACACAAAGTTATTACTTTGGGCTTTAATTTAATATCCACATATTTAATTCTAAACCTTCCCAGTCCTGTAGATACACTTGGATACTGAGAGAGGCAGATTTTAAAGCCTTAGGCAAGCTGAAATGACTGGATTGCCAATTCACCATGTGCTTAATGGTTAAAAGTCTCTAACTCAGAGCTGTATCCTACGGGCTTCATACTTCAGGGAAGAATCTACTCTAGTCACAGAGACATGTTCAGAACCATTTGTCAGTCTCTATAACTTTAGGGGTCTCCAAATCCACAGCCTTCATAAAGGATTGGCTTTGTTAAACCAGATTCAAACTAGATCCTAAGCAGTTCTTTTGCCTGATGTGCAGGGGACACCTGTACTCGGGAATCGTGGTTAATGCCCTTCAGCAATCTTGTACTGGCCTGCTTGAAATTTTGCATTTTTCCCCATATTTTTTCCTCACTGAGTAGTCACAACTCGTTTAAATGACATCCAGATAGATTCTATACTGGTCCCATACCAATGTCTTATTTGTCCCTGAGGCCAGAACTCTATAATTGCACTCAGGATGACACAATTCAGTAGAAAAACTGAGCTGAAGACGGAAGCTAAAGGGATGGAAGACTAAGGAGTTTAACAAGGGTCAAGTCAAAGGTCCTTATGAACCTTCTTGTAGGAGTTTGGAATTTTATCCTTAGGATAAGAGGGATCCACTGAAGGATTTACGCTTGGGGGTTACATCCTCAGATTTGCCCTCATCACGCTGACCACAATGTAGAGACAGAACTGGACAAGTCAATGTTGGAAGGCTGGAGACCATTACTATGGCTATAATCTGGTTGGGAGCTGACCTCAACCAAGGTGTTAACTATTGGAATGAAGAGACACACAAATGTAAGGGACAGTTGAGAGGCAGAAGTGATTGTTGCATGTAGGAAATGAAAGAGATGGAAAGTAAAGACTATCCCTATGTTTCTGGCTTGGGCAACTAAATGAGTAGTGGTGATGCCACTGGCTGATATAGTAAACAGCAGAGGTAAGGCTGTAAGAATGGAGTGGGAGACAGGAAGAGGGGAAGGAGAGGGAAAGAGGTATTCAGAGGTGAAGCAGTAAATTTTGAACACAAAATTCAAATTGTTTGAATTGCCTGCCTGTTGGGGCATTTATATGTAGATAGATGTACCACTGGGTATATGGCTCTGGAGGTCAGGGAAAAGGTCTGGGCTCCAGAGAGGAAGTTGAGACTCATCAGCCCATGTAATGGAAGCTATAGAAAAGGATAAAAAACACCCCCATAGACACATGTAGCTTAAGACTGTGAAGAAATTACTACAATGAAAATTGCATGAACTGTTTTTTCATCACCTGAATTTGTCTCCAAGACTGTAAAACCATTTCATTTACACATCATCTGAGTGCTTTGGAGGATATATTTTTAAAATTTAACTGAGTTTTACTGGTTAACTTAATTTTAAATAAAATGGAGCAGCCCCTTATGCAGGGGGTTAAATTGTAAAGCAAAGATTGTATTTGAAAATATATTGCTCCAATATAGTATATAGGCATTCTATCTCAGTAAGTCCAACCCAGCCTATTTTTACTTCAGTATTGGCATGTGTGGCTGGTTCTTTAATTCAGCCACAGATGAAGTCATTTTATATTTACATGCTATGGCATGTTAAAAGAAACAAAAACAAAAGCCTTACATTTAAGCATAAGAATTACACTCAGCAAGTGAAAAGTAGGTAAGTCTCAGCTCATTCCCATTTCAAGTATGTCCCAACACCTAAGGAATGGCAGTGGGTTTGTGGCCTTTTTTGTATCTTATTGTTCATAATTGTCTTAACTACACATGGGTGCAGTTATTTTTAGTCCCTTATGGTTTCTTTGTATTCTGTTGCTGGAGGAGACAATGTTTGTCCAGGTGTAAACACTCTGGTAAAGGGACCCAGGAACCAGTCTATCCAATAAGGAGGTGATGCGTTTGGATATTTACAAGGTGCAATGGATAGAGTTTGCTGGCTGACTGCTTTAGGGAGGCACTGTAGCATCAGGTTAAGGGTGTGGCCGTCCTGAACCATACAGATGGGCTACACGGTTAGGCTCTTCCACTTCCTGTGTGACCTTAATCAAGTCACTTCAATTCTCTGAAACTCCTGCTCTGCATCTAAGGTAGGCTTAGTGTTATCTAACTGTGCTCTACGGGCTTACTGAAGGAAAAATGACATAATAAATACTGAGTATAGTATGTTTAGTGTTAGGATCTGACCAGTAAATATAAAAAATAACCGAACATTACTCAAAAAAAAAACAAACAAGCTATTTGATTAAGTGGTCGGGCTCTACTCAGACTCAGGGTTAAATTCCTACTCTGCCATTTAATAGCTGGGTGACCTTGAAAAAGTTACTTGACATTCCTACGCTTCAGTTTTAGTGTTTGTAAGATAATGAAGATAATAGTACCTCTCTCACATTGCTATGGTTAAGGAAGACATGAGATAATTCAGGTAAGGCACCAGAACATTACTTCATTTAAACAAATATTTATCGAGTATATGTACCAGGCACTATTCTAGGTCATGAATATAGATACAGTAATAAATAAAACAGATCAAAACAAAACCTGCACTCACGGAGCTTAATTATAATGAATATGTAGAACACAGGAGTGTTATATATCATCCCTGTTACAAAGCATTATCCCAAGACAAGTTCTATGGTCCTAAAT